GACCCAGTGTTTTGATGCATTTACTTTCCATAAATCTCTATAAACATTCATATTCTGATCCTGGAAGAGCCTTGGGCAACAAATAATGTCTTTTGGGTAAATGAGTCAATGGTTTCCATAAATTAAAAAAAAAAAAGCCGATATCTCATTTGAGTCATTGACATTGGTCTTCCACAACCTTTTCTGCTTTCAGGAATCATTTCAATGCCCTCTTGTTTCCTAACATATAGTTGTTTGTGTTATTTGCCTACTGGGTTATGTTGGTCACCCACTGAGGTGATGGTAACATTTCAGAAATAGTTCATGGGTTTCTGGGCTATGACTGCTTACTTTTTCTTCATCCTGGTCTTTCTCTTTAAGAAAAATTATGAACATCTGGAAGATGCTTTTAAAAATGAGGTATGTTTTGGAAGCATTTAGAAATGTGTGTGTGTGTATATATATATGTATTATATGTATATATTTACATGTTATATATATGTGTATATACATGTGTATATGTATATTACATGTAACTCCCGGGTTCAAGTAATTCTCTGCCTCAGTCTCCTGAGTAGCTGGGACTACAGGCTAATTTTTTTGTATTGTTAGTAAAGTCAGGGTTTTGCCATGTTGGTTTTGAACTCCTGACCTCAAGTGATCCGCCTGCCTTGGCCTCCCAAAGGCTGGGGTTACAGGCATGAGCCACCATGCCCGACCTAGAAATGGATATTTAATTCAACACTATTTGCAGATAATTTTATTTTTTGTCTGAAGAACTTGCTATACTGGAATATCACCATCTGCTAGAAGCTGGTCTAGCAGTTTTCTAGCATTTGGTCTAAAAGTTTTCACTTTGTTTAAATGAGGGAAATGGAATATTCCTATGTAGCAGGTGCATTTGTAAATATTAAGCCAAATGCTGTACACCTTAAAATCTCAACAGTTTCTAGCTGTGAACTTCTCTGCTGCCTCAACATCACTGTTAAGGATGGACTTATGTTATTATTATAAAACACTGTACTGATAGGAATGCACTTATGAATCTTAGGTTATAGGTGAATATAAAATGCAGTTATCTAATATTCTGAATTTAGATAAAATCAAACTCATCTTTTAATAAGAAACAAGGAAAAATCATATTCCTGTTTCCTTCTACTTTTCAAAGGTGTTAGATTTCCACTTCTCTACGCCTGAGATTTTGCACAAACAAGACAAGCTCTTTGTTTATAACGTCATTTTTTCCACTCTTGACATATTAGGGAGGGCAGGACCATATCTACACACATCTAGACCAGAAGTTGAGATGAGTAAACTGCACAGAAAACATAGGCTGTCTCCACTTATGGAAATGGGGTTCCTGCTATTGGGCACTATGCATCTTGCTTTTGAAGTGAAAGTAGCTGTGTTTCACCTCAGGGTGTAGGAATTGTAATGGGCTGTGAGAGTTGTGGCCAGGGCTCATTTGGTAAATACAAGTTGTCCCTACTCAAATATCTTGGTACATTATAAAATGCCTCTTCTATCCTGCCTCATGCCACGTGACTTCTCTTCCTTGCTTTTGGTGTCTCTGTTATGTGTTTCCTTCCAGAATGCCACGTATGGGTCCACAGTGGCATCGTTAAAAACAAAACAAACAAACAAAAAACCAAGAAAAGCCTACTGCTTTTAACGTTAAACATAAAAGCACTGATAAGCTTTATATTTCTATGCCAGTCATTTGTATATGAACATTTTCTCCAAACGAATCCCTGGACAAGGGGCTGTTAAATTATATGAAAGAACATGTGGTATTGTAATTCACATAAATGCTGATGTTCTGTGCTACCCGAAAAGTGATAGTTGTATTCACCTGCTCCTGTTTCTCTGCAAAAATAATTTTACACCGCAAGAACTGAAGTCCATAAGCTACATGGGAACACTCAAATATTTTATTAACCATCCTAAAAAATTAAAAATATTTTCAGATAAAACATTCTTTATAATATACCTTATGTTTCTCTTTCTAAATATTTCTCCTCTTGAGCTCAGGAGTTTGAGACCAGCCTGGGCAACATAGGGAGACCTCATCTTCCCACCTACAAAAAAAAAAAAAAGCTGGGCATGGTGTATGGTGTTGTGCACCGCTGTGATCTCAGCTACATGGGAGGCTGTGACAGGAGGATCACATGAGCCCAGGAGGTTGAGGCTATCTCTTTATTCTCTACTGAGCTTCACGTGTTTTTGTTTGTTTTGTTTTGTTTTGTTTGTTGGCTTGGTTTTTGAGATGGAGATTCCCTCTGTCTCCCAGGCTGGAACGCAGTGGTGCCATCTCTGCTCACTGCGACCTCCACCTCCCAGGTTCAAGTGATTATCCTGCCTCAACCCCCCTGAGTAGCTGGAATTACAGGCACCCATCACCATGCCCAGCCATTTGTATTTTTGTATTTTTAGTAGAGACGGGGTTTCACCATGTTGACCAGGCTGGTCTCAAACTCCTGACCTCAAGTGATCCGCCCATCTCAGCCTCCCAAAGTGCTGAGATTACAGGTGTGAGCCACCATGCCCATCTGAGCTTCACATTTTTATTCCTTTTGCATGTTTATTCCTTTTGCATCTTTGTGAAACATCTCACTTGGGATATGAATTTTGATGTCATGTTGTGTTATGTTTATGAGAGAAGCTTAAAATGTTCAGAAAGATTGGCTTATTTGAAAACCCAAAGGCAGGTGTAGTCATTGGGAGAAGTTAGACTGGGGCATGGCTAAAACCATAAGGTCTAAGGTAGGCAAGGAGTAAGAGATGCATTTTCCACATTGAGTATAACTGAGTTGGATCCCCATTGTATGCTGGCACCCAGCATATAGTAAGCATTCAATCAATATTTATTGAATGAAGGAAAAAGATAGAGGGTCAGAAGTATCCTTACAGAGACATGATGTCAGAGAAAATAAAGTCTCGCTGTGTTGCCCAGGCTGTAGAGCAATGGCGCGATCTCGATGTGATTCTCCTGCCTCAGCCTCCAAAGAAGCTGGGATTACAGGTGCCCGCCACCACGCCCAGCTAATTTTTTGTATTTTTAGTAGAGACAGGGTTTCACCATGTTGGCGAGGCTGGTCTCGAACTCCTTACTTTAGGTGATCCACCCGCCTCGGCCTCCCAAAGTGCTGGGATTACAGGTATGAGCTGCTGCACCCAGCCTAAAATAATCTTATTTGAGAGGAAAATACTAAGGGACTGAGCAATTCTACAGGGAAATGGAAAATTTCATGATTACTCTGCTTGCTTTTCATTTTGAAACCATGGGAAAGAAAGATGATTTATGGGATATGGTACAAGTATCAAGAAGAGATTTTTTTGGTTGTTGTTTTGTTTTCTTCTTGGATTTGCAATGACCAACAAGAAGCAGACAAGCTCCCAATTTATGACTTCTCTCCTTGGCAGAGCCCATCAGGAGGAAGGGCTTCTTGACAGAGGGGCTCTGAGGACAGAAGTACAGATCCCTCAACCCAACCTCTGTAACAGCCCAAGCCTTAATCGTAAAGCAGTTTATCACTGCTATAACTGCTGGCACTGAAGAAAACTTTTGCTTCTTGAATTCAAGAAGCTATAACTGAGGTTTCTCGCTCTGAAGGAAGGAATACAGACAGACGAAAAAATACGCATACATGACTGAAATTTAGGAGACTTGAGATCTAGACTAGCCCCATATCTAACTGGTTTATTTCAGACTATTCATTTGCCTTCTCTGGGTTTCAGGTTCCTCTTCTGGAAATTAGAGCATTCAACAGATGGGTACTCCTAGGTCTGAAATTACCAAAAACCACCCAGATACAACTCATTCTTAGATTGGAATGCCAAAGTAGATTTTGTGATGAGTAGGGCACCCCAAAGTCATTGTATTTACATTGAATTTCTTTCCATGATTTTTCTGAAGGTTCAGGTACTGGTTACATTAAGAATAGGTTATAAAATTACATGCCTTGCTAATAAAGAACTTGGTGAAACTATTAGTAGTATTGTTAATAAGTTTCAATTATTGAACACTTAGCACAGGGCAAACAATGTGCTAAAAGCTTTCTCTGGGTTATCTCACTTAGTCCTTAAAACAACTCAGTGAGATTAGTACTGTTATTATCTCCATTTTACAGTTGAAAGAATAAGGCTTAGTTTAAAAAACTTGGATCAGGTCCTACAAAGTAGAAAAGTCAGAGTTTGAACTCAAACCTATTTGCCATCACACTGAGAAAACATCACTCTCTATATAGTATGAGTCTTGTCCAGACATGAAGTTCTTTTTAAGGATAATGAGCAGATAAAATAAAATCAAGTATATTTATTACATGTAGTTGTTCAGTTAATATTATTCCTCCCCTTTCTTTTGCTCTGCACTAAATAGGAGTAATAGAGGGAAAATTTGGCTTTCAAAAGATGGCTGACCTGTCTAGAGTAGTTTTAGAATGATTCTTCCTAATAGTAGGGGATCCTAAGGTTGGAGTCTATGATTGACTTTAATATGACACTTCATGGAAAATCCAGGCTGTGATATGTCTGTGTGTGTGTGCAGGAGAGACAGAAAGAGAGGGAGAAATAGAACTAGATATTTTCCCTTTGCTCTTAACTAAATCTACTCTCTTCTATCTTGTTTCCTAAAAAACGCTTAAAAAGTATTTTTGAAAACACTTAAAAATTTTTTAAGTGCTTTTTTCCTTCAACTTTTATTTTAAGTTCAGGGGTACATGTGCAGTTATTTTTATTTATTAAAAAATTTTATTTAAAGATGGGATGTTAATCTGTTGCCCAGGCTGCTGTGTAGTGATGTGATCGTATCTTACTGCAGCCTTGAACTCCTGAGCTTAAGCAATCCTCCTGCCTCAGCCTCCCAAGCAAGTAGCTAGCACTACAGGCTAATGCTACCACACCTGCCTAATTTTTATATATATATATATATTTTTTTTAAGAGATAGATCTTACTAGTCGCCTGGGCTAGTCTTGAACTCCTGACCTCAAGCTATCCTTTTGCCTCAGCCTCCTCAGTCACTGGTATTACAGGTGAAAATATGTTTTATTTAAAAAATAAGGAAGATGATAGACTTTCTCTCACCGGGCAATTAACACCACGTAGTACATGTTGAGGAAGTGGGTGTTCCTTGCTTTCTATTGTTAATCTGATGATAGTGAGGGTGGAGAGCACTTTGAAAAAATATTTGTATAAGGAGGAGAGAGAGAAGTGAGCTGAATAAGAAAGTCTTTTGCGTACCCCAAATTAAGGTCATTCTTGGCTTTTTAGAAGACATTTCCTTGAGGTAGACAGCACTTTTTTCAAGAAGGTGCAGAGTTTAAATATGTAACCTTGGCTTCAAATACTCTTAGCACATCCTTATTTTTTAAAAATTAATTTTCAGTTTAGGGGCTCAGTGTACTTTCTTATACTTCTAGGAAGGAAAAGATCATTGCCTGCATATTGACCCTTGGAAGCCAGATTGCTGGATGCTGCTGCTGCTCATAGCAGCTAATACTTACATAGGACTTACTATATGTCCTGTCCACTGTTCGAAACTTTGTGTGTATACCCTAGCTCAATCCTCACAATAGCCCTCAGAAATAGCTTTATTATTGTGCTTCATTAAGTCTAAAATATATTGATGATGCATTCTTGACCTTGCTAGAAGATGCTAACAAAAGACTTTCACACAACTGTATCTCTAGTGACACCTGATTTATAATAGCAATTGCAAGATGTCTTGGGTTGTAAGACTGAAATGTAAGATGCACCCCAGTTTTAAAGAAGTTAAAATAAGAAAGCATGTTAGAATTGATAAAATAGAATCTCATTCCTATTTTACAGACGAGGAGCCCAAGACAAAAGAGATTAAATAAATTTTCCAAAGTTACATGACTGGACTCAAATACGGGTGGCTTGGTTGTAGAGTTTCTGCCTTTAACCTCCATGTTTTTCTCCTGTCTCTCAACAATACACTGGAATTGAGCCCATGCTAATATGTGGGTAGACTGGCCAAGACCCAGTTACTTATGCCCTCGTTGTGGCACTCATGATAGAACAGCCCCAGATCTTTCTGAGGGAGACAGTGTATATGCTATGTACAACCTGCCTCTAGGGCAGTGATGAGGATTGTTGTACTAATGTGTGTAAAGTGCTTGACATGTGGGCATCTGACCTAGGCTTCAGACACATTTTCAGCAAGAGAGTGTTACAGGGAAGTCCTTGTGAACCGGCTTCCCAAACCTCAGTAGGCTGGAATACAAGTAGGAAATGGTGAGTGTACAATGTTGTTTGGGTGCCACCAATGTCAAATTCTGGTACTATGTGTTCTCACTGTTTCCCTTTGTCCTCTGAAATGCCGACACAAAAATCATTTACATTATTAGATTTCTGTATTTGAGGAGTGGAGTATTTTCTTCCTGGAAAACAGGCCCTAGGAATACCACTCAGGACTTGAGTAATAAATTAAAAAAAATTATTTATATGAAAATCTACCATCAACTGAGACTTAACATTAAGTTGTCTTCACCTAGTAGTGATAAGTAGTGATGAGAAAACCAGGTATGGGATTGCAAGATGGAGTTGGGAGTATAGTCTGCTATGGACTACAGTGATTTTCTGCTGAAAGATGGGGTAATTCCATTAACTCCAGGCTGTCACTAATTGGACTGCAAGCTCAGATAAGAAGGCTGCCACCCTGAACACCATGCCCAAACCTTGAAAGATCTGTTATTTTGAAAACCTGCCTGCCCCCAACTCCCTTTATTTCTCTGAAATTTCCTTATTCTTTGGAATTCTGGTCTCTGTTAACCCAGACCAGCCTGGTCAGTGTGATCAATTTTGGACAAACTCTAGACAGCATCCAAATTTGCTGAAGGTTTTCCCCAATTGAAGTCTTCATTGCTGGGTCATGGGTGAATGTTTTTCTGCCGGGTCTTTGAGGTAAGATGGGAGATGAATTCTCAACCCAGGAAGCCTGTGTCACTCATCACATCTTTCCCTGTTACCTGTCGTCACCTCCTATGCCAGTGCTCCTTTCTCCCAATCCTTTACTGTCCTCGAACACATACATGCTGTTCGAGTGTGGCGATACAGTATGTAATGGTGGAGATACATTTTTGGATACAGAATACCTACAAATGAGGTAATTTAAAAATAGAATTTGAAGTTTGTTGGTTTGGCACAAGTTTTAAGCACCACACTGTTGTTTTTGGTGCTTCCGATTGTCATTTTACATTTCTAGTTTTGAACTGTTGGGACATCTGAAATTAATTTGAAACATTTCAGACTGTTTTGAACCAGTCTATATCAGTCTAAACAAGTAAGAACAATTTTATAGATAACTGTAGTTATCAAACTAGTTTCCAGCAGTTTAATAGAGTTTGAGCAAGTGTGACTCAATTGAAAGTAGATTTAATTTGTCAGCAGAGTTTGATCCAGTAAAATATACTCAGAACCAACTAAAACTTATAGGAGCCTGTCAGAACCTGCATGTCCAAGTCAGAGCCTATTTGAGCTAGCTAAAACCAGTCTGAAGCAATTAAAGCTAATTACAATGAGACTCCAATAATTTTGGTTAGATATATCAGGTTTTAGCCAGAGTCAGAAAGTAGTTTTGTAGGAGAACCTCTTTTAACTCACCCTAAAATAATATGAACAAGATTCTTTTGAACAACTATGAACTTGCTGAAATGGATGGGTGTATTTTATATGGATTTGAACCTGTTTTCAAGTTGATCAGAACTCTTTTGAAATAAACATGTCTTTATTAAATGAATTGCAAATGGTTAGAACCAGCTAAAAAAGATCAGAATTAGTTTGAAAGTGATCTTTGTTAACTCAGCCGACCACTTTGAACCAGTGAGCAATACTTTGTGCTAGAAAAACATGTTTTAAGCTGGCCAGAATCAATTTGAAAATTGTTCTAGGTCTTCAGACTCAGTCTGAATGTCCACAATGGAGACAATAAGTGAGCTAACAGTTAAGTACCCAGTATATGCCAACCATTGTGCTGGGCATTCCATAAACAGTATCTCACTGAATCCTCAGAACAATGGTGTGAGGTGTAGTACGTATTCTTTTTTATAGAACAGAAACCTGGAAATCTAAGGCTCAGAGACATCCAAGTAATTGGTATCTGGGAGATTTGGGATTTCAAACCCAGCTCTGCTTGATTTTATGAGTTTCCTATTAGGTTACCTTGTAAAATACCATACTAGTGGTCACTTTAAAGCCCAATATTGCATTTGTAACAAAAATGAGTAACGGACATGAAGCTTGGGGTAGAACAGACATTGGACTTGGAACTAGGAGATCTAGATTCCAGATTGTGCAAATCAGTCTGCTTCTCTGGGTTCTGTTTTATCCTTTAGAAAACTGAACCTAGAGAGTGGAAGGTCTGAACATTTATTTTCAGATCAAGAAAGCAGATAATTGTCTTAAAGATACAATCTGAAAAGTGCGAACTATGATTAATATTGATGGTGGTATCTATACTTTCAGTTTGCGGTATTTGGTTTGTTAATAGTCCCTTTATGATTACTTGGTCACTATTGCTATTGCGAATAGAAAACAAAACTCATGAAGATCACTTGTAGACTTACATGTGTGATTATCCATGGAAATGAAACACATTAAAGATAGTTTAAGTCTTTGAATTCCACTTAAGTGGGTTTAGAGAATTCTAGAATATGATGCCATTAGTGACAGCATTTTTTCATGTACCTTAAGTGATATAAAAAACATAGTTATACCAACTTTTTTTTCAAATTAAAAATAAAGAGGAAATAAGGTAGCCACAGTGTCTTCTTGCATCATTCTCACTGCAGGATCGGTATTGTTTTCTGCTGCTCCATTCAGTTTGAGGGGAAGCCCCCAAATGAGTCAACATTATCTGGACTTGCTTTTCAATTCTTAGCTCTTATTTCCAATAACTTAGAGCCAGGTGTGATGCTGTGATGTGACATGCCATAATGTTGACGTCCAAGTTGTCGGTTTTTGGAGAGGAATTCTGTTATATGTCATTAATACTGGTGACCTACACTTGCAAATACCCAACTATAAAGATAGGTAAGGCATCATCTGTGAAGTGTCACTCTTTATGGTGTGCAAATAGAATTTTGAATGTTTGTAGAGGCTCTGCCCTTATCCAAGGGCTGACCATACCTGAAACGTGAGGTTGCAGATCTGCACTGAAGGACTCTGAGGAAACACCCTGCAGTGGCTCTTGGGGCTCAGCATTCAGGAGTTTTCAGCATAAGGTGAGTCACCAAGTTGAGGATAGGGTAAGGGAGGCAACATTGAAAACCAGTCAGTATTCTTGTCTGAGTTTTTATTAATTTTATGGATACATAGAAATAGTCCTATAGGAAGCACTGAGTATGGCAGCCAAGTTTCTGGATATGGGACTGGGTAAAAAGGAGATAATGCCAGGACTCAGTAGCATCTAATGCAGGACATCTGGCATGTATATAGATAGATAAATATGTATGTTTTTGAATAGTCATGTAGAGTTGTCAGTGTTAATGAGATAGTTATTTTTATGATTTTCAGGAGAGTTTGTTGGCATTGGGGAGAATGGAGAGAGGTTGGTTAATGTGTACAAGCATACGGTTAGATGGAAATAATAAGTTCTAATGTTCAACAGTAGACTAGGGTGACTATAGTTAACAAAAATGTATTGTGTATTTCAAAATAGCTAGAAGAGAGTACTTGAAATGTTCTCAATGCATAGAAATGATAAATACTCGAGGTAATAAATACCCTAAATACCTTGATCATTACATTCTGTGCATGTAACATTGTATTGATGTGATCATTACATTCTATGCATGTAACAAAATATTACATGTACCCCATAAAAATGTACAAATATTATGTATCAATAAAATTTTAATAAAAAAGTAAACCTTCCCTGGAGAGAGATCCCATTTCTAGTTGGACTGATATTTTGGTTTTGAATCTATTTAGAGGGTAAAAACAAATCATGAAAAGTGCTGATTGCAAAGAACCAAAAATAGCCATGGTTAGGTATTGCTGATATAAATGAATTTTTCTTCCTTAAGGTGGACTTTTGTTTTAGTCAGTATTGAAGAGCTGAATTTTTAGCAGTTCTTGATAGAATACCCAGGTAAATATAGGTAAGCGAGCCCTTGGTTGTGGGACTATGGTCTCTGAGCAGTGACTGTTTAAATGTGGAACTCAGTTCCCAAGTGAGCAGTGATATTCCAAAGAAGTCTGACATAACATGTAGTACATATTAATAGTAATATGTAAGGAAACAGGGAGTAAATTTACTTGTGAAATAACAGTGTCTTTGAAGGAACTGTAATAACGTGTGAAAATGAATAGAATAAATGAAATTGCCTAGATGTCCATGTAAAAAGAGAGAAAAGGCAAGGTTCTAGCACTAGGAGACTTTGTTTCTTTTTTTTTTTTTTTTAATTTCCGTAGGTTTTTGGGGGAACAGGTGGTGTTTGGTTACATGAATAAGTTCTTTAGTGGTGATTTCTGAGATTTTGAAGGACCCATCACCCAAGCAGTGTACACTGTATACAATCTGTAGTCTTTTATCCCTCACCCCCCTCCCACTCTTTCCCCCGAGTCCCCAAAGTCCATTGTATTATTCTTATGCCTTTACATCCTCATAGCTTCACTCCCATTTATGAGTGAGAACATATGATGTTTGGTTTTCCATTCCTGAGTTACTTCACTTAGAATAATGGTCTTCAATTCCATCCAGATTTCTGTGAATGCCATCATTTCATTCCTTTTTGTGGCTGAGTAGTGTTCCATGGTGTGTGTGTGTATATGTATATGTATATGTATATGTATGTGTGTGTATATGTATATGTACGTGTGTGTATATATGTGTGTGTGCATATATATCTGTGTGTGTGTGTGTGTGTATATATTTCTCTCACAATTTCTTTATCTACTCATTGATTGGTGAGCATTTGGACTGGTTCCTTATTTTTGCAATTGCAAATTGTAGCACTAGGAGACTTTGAAAAAGGAGGGGAAATTGGAACCACTTGTACTCTAACAATTACTGTTATTCCTTGTAACATTCTCCTTCCTCTATTTTTCTTGTATTAGTTTTTATTCTATATAGTCTGCAGATAAGACTTAGTGACTGTTACTTTCTTGTTGATTATCATTCTCACTTGGAATTTTTGTCCTTTTTTGGTACTATAATATGTATGTTTTTATTTTTATTTTTATTTATTTTTTTATTTTGAGACGGAGTTTCGCTCTTGTTGTCCAGGCTGGGAGTGCAATGGCGCAATCTTGGCTCACCACAACCTCCACCTCCCGGGTTCAAGCGATTCTCCTGCTTCAGCCTCCCGAGTAGCTGGGATTATAGGGATGCACCACCACGCCCGGCTAATTTTTGTATTTTGTAGAGATGGGGTTTCTCCATGTTGGTCAGGCTGGTGTCGAACTCCCGACTTTCGGTGATCCGCCTGCCTTGGCCTCCCAAAGTGCTGGGATTACATATATGTTAAATTAAAACTACACTGTTAATTACTATTTCAATAGCTTCTCATCTAGCTAGTTATTGGGTCTTCAAGGATGGTGACCAATATGTATGTAACCCTCTTTTCATACAACCTGTAGACATACAGGTTAACATTAGGTGTTAAGCTGAATATTGTCGTCATTTTTTTAATGGATAATTAATGTTTTCTAATGGATTTTAATTAAAAAAATTTGTGTGTATTTTACAGGTGAACCACTGAGTTCTTCATTATGTCTGATGGAGATTATGATTACCTCATCAAGTTTTTAGCTTTGGGAGACTCTGGCGTAGGGAAGACCAGTGTACTTTACCAATATACAGATGGTAAATTTAACTCCAAATTTATCACAACAGTGGGCATTGATTTCAGGGAAAAGAGAGTGGTAAGTTCTGTATCCTTCTGTGTAAAAATGTAATCTTTGAGTCAACATTTGCTGGTCTGTTTAGTTTACTTTGTAGGAATTAGGAGGACAAAGGTCGGGATCTGAAATTAAAAGGTACGTAGGAAAGTGAGTTGTATTCAATCCAGGCAACATGATTGAAAAGGTTGTGCTGACAACACTTCATATAAAACCAGGCAGACAAAGTGGAAGACAGTTCTTTAAAATGTCACCTTGGTACTCTTTTGGCTTGTATCTTCCCTTCTGGACTCCAATAGTTATTTGTCTTGAAGCCTGCCAGCCACTTTGCCCCTCATACTCTTGTTTTATGAGCTGTATCTTCCACCTTTGATATCTTATTATTTTTAATGGGATTTCTCCTAATAAAGTCTCAGCAATTCCGCATGGAATACTAACTGGCAGAACTCATCACTGCTGCCAGGAGGGTGAGGTTGGAGTAGGAATGGGGAATGCCAGTAGTGAATGTGATGTTCTGCAAAATGTTAAAGAGAGAAGCTTTTATTTACGTATTTTTTTAAGGACTTTAAGACTGAAAGTTATTCTAGTGTTGGAGGGGAAGGCAGAAGGTCATTGTGTCACAGTTGCAGATGAGGAAAGACGGCCTTCTCCTTAGATTACATTTGTTGCTGAAAAATCCATTGTTAGCATGAAGCAGGTAAACAAGTGGTCAGGAAATTAATGACAAAGGTCCTTTAATGGATCATATTCTGTCAGGGGGAAAGGTCCCTGGCTTTTAGGACAGAAGAACGTTCTCTTTTGCCCATTCTAGGTCTTTTATTCTACTACCAGAGAGTCTTATAGAGATTAAGACCCACTGAATAACAATAGGGCCCTAATGAAATTTTTAATATTGACGTATAGTTGATAGAATCTGTATGTATGTATGTGATTATTTTTGTTGGTTACTTATTTTATAACTTAAAAAATAGATTTGTTGAGATATAATTCACAAGAAAAGGAAATCCATCCATCTAAAGTATAAAAATTGAGTGGTTTTTAGTATATTTGGAGTTGTGTGGCTATCACAGCCATTGAATTTTAGAATAGTTTCATACCTCATACCTATTAGCAGACATTCCTCTTTCTACCTCCCCTTAGCCACCATGAATTTTCTATCTGGCTTCTGCACACATCATATAAATGGAATAATATATGGCCTTTTGTGTCTGGCGTCTTACACTTAGCCTGATGTTTTCAAGGATCTTCCATGTTGTAGCATGTATCAGGACTTCATTACTTATGATGGCTACATAATATTCTTTTGTATTGGTACACCAGTTTGTTTATCCATTTGTCTGTTGATAGATATTGTGTTGTTTCTTTTTCTATTTTCTAGTGTATCATTTTAATTCCTTTTTTAAATTATATATTTTGAGTTCTTTTTTAATAGTTCCTTTGGGGATTACAATTATTTTAATTTTCACAATCTAATTTTGATTAGTAGCAACTTAATTTTAATGCTGTATAAAACTTTGCTCTTATATGGCTCTGTTTTCTCCCCTCTTTTTGTACCATTATTGCTATACAAATGACATCTTTCTACATTGTGTGCCTATCGCCAACACAGCTTTATAATTATTGCTGTATGCAGTTAATTTTTCTTTTCTTATCTTATCTTTTTTTTTTTTGAGACAGGGTCTTCGTTGCTCAGGCTGGAGTGCAGTGGTGAGATCTCGGCTCACTGCAACCTCTGCCTCCCAGGTTCAAGCAATTCTCCTGCCTCAGTCTCCCAAGTAGCTAGGATTACAGGCACTCGCCACCATGCCCAGCTAATTTTTTATGTTTTTAGTAGTGCTGAGATTTTGCCATGTTGGCCAGGCTGGTCTTGAACTCCTGGGCTCCAGTGATCTACCCATCTTAGCCTCCCAAAGTGCTGGAGGATGACAGGCGTGAGCCATCACTCCCAGTCTGCAGTTAAATTTTAATCTGGTGGAGGAAAAGGGCTATAAAGAAAAAAACGTTTATACTGTTTTTTATATTTACCATGCAGTTACATTTTTACTGGCGCTCACTATTTCTTTGTGTGGATTTAAGTTACTGTCTAGTGTCCTCTCAGCTCAGTCTTGAGAGTTGTCTTTAGTATTTCTTGTAGGGCAGGTCTGCTAGAGATGACTTTTCTCAGTTTTGTCTTAATTTATCCTTTAATTTTAGAGGACAGCTATGTTACTAATTTTTAAGTTCTTTGAATATATTTATAATTCCTGATGTAAAGTCTTTGTCTGATAAGTTTAACGTCTGGGCCTTCTCGGGAATAATTTCTATTAGTTGCTTTTTTCCTGTGCATGAGCCATCCTTTCCTGTTTCTTTGTGTGTCTTACAAGTTTTGCTGAAAACTGGACATTTAAAATAATGTGTCTATTCTAGGATTCTTTCCCCTACCTGGGTTTCTTGTTTTTACTGCATATTTATTTATTTTTGTTGTTGCTGTTTGTTTGTTTGATAATGTTTCTAGGATAATTCTGCAAAATCTGTATTCTTTGTAGGCAGCTACTGAAGTCTCTGCTCTGTGAACTTAGTGGACAGCTAATGAGTGGACAAAGTTTATTAAATTCCTTGAACCAATAAGTCTCTTAGCTTTTTCTGAGAGTCTCTGTGTGTTTGTTGGGGTATGTGTTTAATACGACTGCAGGCAGTTTACAACTCTGCCTTAGCTTTTATTTTCTGCCTGAGAAGAACCTCAAAGTCAGTCAGAAGTGAGAGATTAGGACCTTTTTAGATCTTTCCTGGGCATTTATAGAGCCCTGCCCATGAACATGGCCTTATAGCTTCCAAGAAATATTTGGGAGCATTATAGAAATCTCATTTTCTGTTTTTAAATTTTGTTTTGTTGTTGTTGTTGTTGTTGTTGTTGTTGTTGTTGTTAGACTTTTGTTAGCCCTAACTGGTATTGCTACCTCTGGTAGCTGTGATGTTAAATAAATTACTGCTAATAGTTTTCAACAAATGCCCTTGGGGATAGGGCTGTTCTCAAAGAGCAAGCTTTGAGTGAGGTCAAATAAAAACAAAGCTGGGGCATAGAGCTTTCCAAGGGGCTTCCTGACAATTTTTCTCAGTATGGGACTTTTAGGGAGCTCCAAACCTATTGTGCCTCCACTGTCCACAGTGGTGGCTAGGCTGAAGTTTTCACAACTACCACATTTGTGCAAGTGGTTTTTAAGTCTTCTAAAAGCTGGGGCAAGGTAAAAAAACACCTCAAAGCTTACTGTTTTTACTGATATTCAGCTGTTTTTCTTGAATAAATGCTCCTTGGAATGTTGCAAGTCTTTGTTAATTTCTAGAGTACTGAAAAAGTTGATTTGGACAATTTTTACCAGTGTTTTTGTTGCTATTGTGGAGGAAGAAATTTTTAACGGTCCAGGGTGGGAGCTAAACAATAGGTACGCATGGACATAAAGACAGAAACAGTAGACATTAGGGTCTCCAAAAGGGGAAGGGAGCGAGACAGGGGCTGAAAAACTACTTACTGGATGCTACGTTCACTGTTTGGGTGATGAGTTCAATAAATGCTCAAACCCCAGCACTATGCAATCTATCTATGTCACAATCCTGCACGTGTACCCCCTGGTTAAACCAACAAAAAAGATGAGATTGGAAAAAGCCATAGAAATGTAATATTTCCTGAAACTAGTGACCCAAGAGAACTTTGAGGAAAGATAAGCTAATTATATTATATTTTATACAAGTTATTTTTTATACATATTTTACAATATATTTATAAAATATATACATATATTTCAGTATAACTTATTACATTACCTGGATATAATTATTTGACATAAATACAAACGTGGTTGTATTCCATATGGGATTCTCTTTGGAAGTTTAGATGCCTTAGGGATTTGTACTGAATAAAAAGGTGAGAAGGGTTCACTGGTGTCAGAAGTTCTCTTTTATTTTCTCTTTCACTTTGCTGTTTTAGGTGTACAGAGCCAATGGGCCGGATGGAGCCATTGGCAGAGGCCAGAGAATCCACCTGCAGTTGTGGGACACAGCAGGGCAGGAGAGGTATGAGATCTTCAGTTATGTGCTCCTTACCGAAGGAAAGGGAGAAATAGTTACATTCTTTAAACAGTGACCTGAGCAGGAAAAAGCCAGCCAATTCATTGGTTTGTACTTGGATAAAGAATGCTGCCAAATTAGCAGGAAATTTGTCAGTCTGAGATGAGAATGGTGGTTTTATTTCATACAGGGTCAAAGGAGAGGTTAGGATTCTTACTTGTGGACTTTTTTCTTTTCCTTCTTTTAATTTTTTGACATAAACACTTTGCTCCATTTCCTTTTGCTGTTTACTCAACCACAAGAAAGTGGCCAAGTTACATGCGTTATTCTTACCTGATTGTTGAAACCTAGTGGGAAATCTGGTTGGAATTAATTCATATGACCAGAGAATACTTGACCAAAATAAGCCACATGAAATCTTGATATAAAGTTCTTTCAGTTAGCTAAAACTTCTGTTTTCTCTCAAAACCACCTTGAAGGATTTGTTTTTTAACTTTTTATTATGGAAAACTTCAAGGATATTCAAAAGTGGAAGGATTATATGATAAACCCAGGTTCCCATTACTCAGCTTCAACAATTATGAAATTGTGACCAATAGAATTTCATTTATACCCCTTACCTCTTCTCACTCCCACCCCCTTGCCATATAATTTGGAAGCAAATTCCAGACATCATATTATTTCATTTGTAATACTTGTGGTATGTAGCTCTAAAAGATAAGAACTCTTTTTTTTTTTTTTTTTTTTTTGAGGCAGAGTTTCGCTGCTGTTGCCCAGGCTGGAGTGCAATGGTGCGATCTCAGCTCACCACAATCTCTACCTCCCTGGTTAAGTGATTCTCCTGCCTCAGCCTCCCGAGTAGCTGGGATTACAGGTGTGCACCACCACACCCAGCTAATTTTGTATTTTTAGTAGAGACGGGGTTTCTCCACGTTGGTCAGGCTGGTCTCGAACTCCTGACTTCAGGGATCCGCCCGCCTTGGCCTCCCAAAGTGCTGGGATTATAGGCGTGAGCCATGGCCCCTGGCCAAGAACTGTTTTAAATAAAAACATTGATGAAAAGTATTTGAGAAAAACCTAATATTGCTGATTAGATGACAAATTCATACCAATGTTTTCTTCCCTAGAGCCTGCCTGTCAGTTACAGATTTTACGTATAGGCAAAGACAGAGGAAACTGACTGGTGGTGGGGTGGGATTGGGGGTGGGGAGAGAGAGAGAGAAGACGGAGAAGAAAGGAGGATAAAGCCTTGGAAGGCAGAGTACCAAGACAGAATAGGGTCTGAGTCAAGACATTCTTACCTTCAAGTCAAACAAAGGGCAATCAGAGATAAGAGATCTCTGCATATTCTGAAATTAAAAGATGATGGAACACATTGTAATGTTAAGTCAAGCTTTCACAGAAGGAAAACATACACTATTGCATTTGGCCAAATTAACTCATAATTGTACAATAAATTCTTGGCTGAGACTAAGATCACAAGCTGGTTCTTGTCATCCCTGTCCAGCAGGCTGGGTTTTCAAATCACATGGTCTGTTAACACTTAAACTGATAAAAGTGATAACTATCCTCTACACTTTTGAAATATCACCATGTAGCTTGTCATTGGTAAACTTTTGTAAGAGGCTGAAGGCATTGCTTGTAGCTTTATATTTCAGGAGTGGGGCGATGGTTTAACTTACCATTCTGCTTTTATGTTCCTAGGTTTCGTAGCTTAACAACAGCATTCTTCAGAGATGCTATGGGTTTTCTTCTACTTTTTGATCTGACAAACGAGCAAAGTTTCCTCAATGTCAGAAACTGGATAAGTAAGTGTTATTGTTCCCCAGTGTCCTGCTACACACTCCTCTCTTATTTATAGAATGCCCTCTTAAGCTCTACTTCTGTGATACATTGTTTTGGAGGAGATCTTAGTGCAAATACTATTTTAAGGAGCAAGGTTTTTAGTTTAGGGACAAAGATAATTGAAATACGCTGCTTCTCCCTGGTACTGATAACTTTGATTTGTTGAGTACTTCCTGTGCTGCAGGTACAAGGCAACACTTTATGTGTGCTCTCCTTTTCAGTCTATCCCACAGAACAGACTCTTTTTCCCATTTTATAGATGAGGAAGTAGAAGCCTAGAGAAGTTAAATCTCTAAGTATCTGCTTGTCTATTGTATGCTATCAATTCTTCTATCATCTCTGGGCATTACATGTATATTACATAGATGCAGATAGCTTTTGAAGACTTAATGGTTCATACCCCTGGTTTCATGTCTTTTCTGTGCTTAGAGTCCCCTTCTAGGTTTTAGGGTTAGAGCATCTTTCAGAAGGATTCTGCCATGGAAAACTCTACAACTGCATTGGTAAAAGTGGTCCCCAGTGCAATGTATGTCAACCTTTATTTTGGAGAGATTTTAACCTCCTAAATGGTTCGTAGCCATTTAGAATTCTGCCACTTGACTGCATAACAGCTTTCAAATGTATGTTTTCCTTATTCGGTCATATTAGTGTAACCCTAGAGAAGCTATTAGAGAAGCCTGTAATATTAAATTTTTAATGTCTAAATCTATGAAACACCGATTTAAAAAGACCTGATACTTAAAAATTACTTACTGTTTTGGGATTTTGAAAGGGTAATTGGCTGTAGTTTTGATAGTAGAGAATCTTATTTTAAAAATGAGTTTAAAAATAATTTAGTGCACTGTGGTTTTCACATACTTTGTGTCTGATCCTCACAATCACCCTGGGCAAAGATTCAGGTCAGTGTTGCGTCCTTATTTCAGGAGAAGGACATTGAGCCTTAAAAAGTAATAGACTTATCCAAAGATATGAAGCTTTGGCTGTCAGTTTAATGGACTTTTATGACCGTTCTCAGGTCAGTTGGCCACTAAGAGTTGAAGAGCTATTAATTACTTTAAATATGAGTTCCCCAAATATAATAATGCTTACTGGGACTTCACTTCGCTAGATGCCTGGCTGAGTTGCATACCTCATTATTTCCCTTGTAGCTGAATGACAGTGGCTACTTATGGTCCCTTACTCTCAGTCCATGCTCGTCATCCCTCCTTTGCATCATCAGAACAAGTTGTGGGGCTTTTTAAAATCAACCATTTTGCAAGGATCACTGGAGAGTGCTCGTAGAATCTTAGCATTGAAAAATAGCCCACCTGTTTTTCACAGGTAGACACTAAAACTCTGAGACATTAGATAAATATTGCCTATCCTGGCTAACTAGTTGGATAAAGAACAAAATTATGTGAAAATATGTATACACATTGATGCATTTTGTTTTCCTTAGTAAAAGAATCCTTATTGCTCAATTAGATAAAGAACACTTATATGTATTGAGGATTTTATGTCTTTAATGGAAAGTATTCTGCACCCCCTACCATTTAAACAAAAAAGTATAATGTTCAGTGTCAGAAGTGGTAATATCAAATCTTAATTAGGAATAAACATTTGTTAATTATCTGTACTTTTAATTTTTCTTCTTCCTGTAAGCATTTTGACTATTACAAGGATCATTCATTTGTTATCTTTTTTTTTTTTTTTGAGAGGGAGTTTCTGCTCTTGTTTCCCCGGCTGGAGTGCAGTGGTGCGGTCTCGGCTCATTGCAACCTCCGCCTCCTGGGTTCAAGTGATTCTCCTGCCTCAGCCTCCCAAGTAGCTGGGATTACAGGCGCACACCAACACGCCCAGCTAATTTTTGTATTTTTAGTAGAGACGGGGTTTCACCATGTTGGCCAGGCTGGTCTCGAACTCCTGACCTCAGGTGATCCGCCCGCCTTGGCCTCCCAAAGTGCTGGGATTATAGGCGTGAGCCACAGTGCCCGGCCCATTTCTTATCTTTTAATTAAAATGATAGCTTAATACACACAAATACACGCACGCGCACGCGCACACACACACACATAAAAATCAGTGGTGAGTGCCAGAACGCAGTGTTGCATTAAAGAAGTAGCTGACTTGTGGGCCCTGATTGGCCTGGGAGAGGAGAGCAGGTCTATATACCCTCCCCTTTCCCTTTGCTCCTTGCAGACCCTTCCCTCTCACTCAGTCTCTCCATGCCCTCCTGACAAGGGTGATAAAAGTCTAAAGTAAGCCCCACTCAGTTGAGGAGACAAAACAGAGGCTCAGTCCTCTGGGCCTGGATTGAAATCTGAAAGGAATTTGGTAGTGTGGTAGTCACTGCCCTGTCTTCCTGGAGTTCAGAGGAGTAAGCAAGTCATGCCTGGAGTCACTCTTCATCCAATGCTAGTGTGTTTCCTAAGGAAACTTTAAAGTAGCCTACATTTCTAAAGTTTCTTCTGTAGACTCACATAAGTGGTGCAAGAACCCAACAGCATATATTTTACATATTTTTACCTCTTTATTTTTTATTCTCATTTTCTGTCTGAAAAACCCTTTCCACACCTGCCCCCATTTTGTTTTTTTTTTGTTTGAGACGGAGTCTCCCTCTGTCGCCCAGGCTGGAGTGCAGTGGCCAGATCTCAGCTCACTGCAAGCTCCGCCTCCTGGGTTTATGCCATTCTCCTGCCTCAGCCTCCCAAGTAGCTGGGACTACAGGCGCCCGCCACCTCGCCCGGCTAGTTTTTTGTATTTTTTAGTAGAGACGGGGTTTCACCATGTTAGCCAGGATGGTCTCGATCTCCTGACCTTGTGATCTGCCCATCTCAGCCTCCCAAAGTGCTGGGATTACAGGCTTGAGCCACCGTGCCCGGTCACCTGCCCCCATTTTTTAACCAACTAGAGTTCTGCTTATTCTTTAAAACCTAGCAAAGATGGCCTCTGTGAGATTTTCTGTGATAACCTTAGTTGTGTTAGATTTTTTCCCTCTTCTTAACCCCTGTTACATTTTATACTGTTTATAGGGTCCTTATCACGTCCAGTACAAGATTGTAGTTATTTATGTAGGTGACTTTTCTCTTAGTGAAGTTTTTAAAATAACTAATTAATCTACTTTTTAGATAAGTACAATCTTAGTAGAAAAATTAGGAAAAATGAGACAAAAAGAAGAAATCACCAATAATCATGCTTCCTAGACTGCCCAAAATAAATACTGTTAACCAGAATTCCTGGTGATACTTACATGCTCTTCTAAATGCTTTAATATATTAACTTGGTAGTTCTCAAATGTGAATGTGCATCTCAGTCACCTGGCGGACTTTTTAAAACACAGATTTCTAGCCCCATTTCCAGCATTCCTGATTCAGTAGAGCTGGGGTGGGACCTGAGACTTGGCATGTCAACAAATTCTTAGGTTATGCTAAGGCTGGTGGCTCACAGTCTTTACCTGCAGAATTGCTGGATTAATTCATTTTAATCCTTACCTTGACTGTATAAAGTAAGTAGTATCATTATCACCATTTACAGATGGGGAAATTGAGGCAGTCAAATAGCTTCATCAGGGTCACATAGCTAGTAAATGGCAGAGCCAGGATTCAACCCTAGGTGTACTGGATTCTGAGTCCTTGCTCATAGCCATCACGCTGGGCATGGACCCTATAACACCTTATAAGGCATTAACAGAGCACAGAACCACTTGGAAGACCAGAAAGATAATGAGGTAACCATGAAGCAAGTCTTGAAGGAAGGTTGTGGTTAAGTATTCAACAATGTGGGAACAGCATGTGTAACAACCTGGAGGAAAGAAAGGGCATGGCTTTTCATGAAATGGTACACAGTTTAGTCTCTCCTCTGTAGGTCTTATTACCCCAGTTGCCCCATGAGGGCAAAGAACTGTTGTGAAATTCCATGCAGAGTATCAAGCCTGTGCTAATGCTCAGTAAACACCTACCTCCTTGACTTTCTCATGATAAGATATAATGAACACGACTTCATAATGAGGAACTAAAATGTCCACACTTTTCTGGTTAACCATGATGAAAAAATAAATTAGGCCATAAACTTTGAAGTATGACTTACTGTGGAAGTTTAGGCCTTAATTTTATTCTGGGGTTGATGAATAAGAAATGAGGTGTTATTTTCCTGCTTGGAAAGATTAAACTATTTAGCTTAGTGAAGCTCTTTGGTTTGAGTCAATGGCTTTTTATAATTGTGCCTATTTGCAGGTTTTCAGGTGAAATAAATGCTGTGGAAGAAGAATTACAGTCCTCTGCTTCCACTTGGTTTTGGTGACAGAATCATTTACTGTTTATTCTGGGTCTTTTCTTCTCATTGAAGCCTGTATCTTGTTTGTTTTAAATGAATTGATTCTGCCCTAGGATAATAGAAACATGTGAAAAACATTTTGGATAGAAATAGATTAGTTTGGAGAAAAACAATTCTTTTAGAAATGTCATTGCTATGGAGAAAAAGACACATAAAAAGAGTTTTAAGATTAGCAATAAACCCTAGGAACTCCTCCAAGTTTCTTTTCAAATAGCCATCATAAAAAAGGGTGTTTTGTATGTGTGTGTGCACACGTGTGTGTGTGCACATGTTGGCCCTCACACTTGAGAGGTAGCACATTCTCTTATCAACTCTCTGATGTCAGTAAACTGGGGTATGTGCTTAAGAATGGTTTTATATTTCTGCCCCAACTATTCAGCTTTACAGATAAGATTATTGATGCTTTGAAAGCATTATATCAATTCCCAATATCTATATATACATTACAGTCTTCAAAGCACTTTTGCGTGTTTTGTTCATTGATCATACACTTACATTATTATTTATGTATATAATAAACTTTCCTATATTAATAGGCCAGCTACAGATGCATGCATATTGTGAAAACCCAGATATTGTGCTATGTGGAAACAAGAGTGATCTGGAGGACCAGAGAGCAGTGAAGGAAGAGGAAGCCGTAGCACTCGCAGAGAAATATGGGTGAGTATTTTTGTGGAGAAGTCTAGAGAAAGCATTTTCGATATAAAAATTAGCAGGAGAATGGTAATGAAAAAGACAAAGGGGGAAATTAAAGCAAAACCTCAGCCATAGGCCTTGGGGCATGTTGAATGTTTCCTTTTTACATTATGTGATAGTAGGATCCTTTGAAAATGCATGTGGCAAGGGCTTCCTTCAGTGCTTTGGTCCCATTTTCTCAAGCTCTTGGCATTTGCAGAGAGACAACTTTGAGTTGTCTCAGAGACGCCTTAAGAGTGTACGGTCTTCTTTCCAAGATGCAAATAGGAGACTCCTGGGGTAAAGAAATCCTCCATGTTAAGCAAGGAAATTTCTTTTTTCTTTTCCTTTCTTTTCTTTTCTTTTTTTCTTTTTTTGAGACAGAGTCTCACTCTGTTGCCTAGGCTGGAGTGCAGTGGCATAATCTCAGCTCACTGCAACCTCTACCTCCCGGGTTCAAGCGATTCTCCTACCTCAGCCTCCCAAGTAGCTGGGACTATGGGAGTCCACCACCACACCCGGCTAATTTTTGTATTTTTAGTAGAGACGGGGTTTCACCATATTGCCCAGGCTGATCATGAACTCCTGAGCCCTTGTAATCCACCTGCCTCAGCCTCCAAAAGTGCTGGGATTACAGGCATGAGCCACCACACCCAGCCTCAGCAAGGAAATTTCAAAGCCACTTTATATACTATTATAGAGAACGCTAGCATATAAGAAGATCTTATTGGTTATTGCAGACTAGGTGCTGGTTTTGAAATTTCTATGCTGGGAGAGGAGTGTGAGATCTTCTTCGGCTTAGTCTATGGTCTTGTGGTGGAGGGTCGGCAAAATACTGTCGTTCTCCTTGAGTTCTGGGAATAGGATCATAGCCGCAGCAGCAGCATGAATTGGACATGAAAGAAGTGGTCAGCTGCTGCTTATTAAAGTATTAGTGTTAAGGGTGCCTCTAAAAGGAATTTGTACTTTACTTTCTTTCTACCTCTCATACAATGAGAACCCATATGTAAATTCAAACCCTTACTAGCATTAAAAGAGGAAGGAAGCAAGTGCGTTGAGAAAGGAGGGGAGGGAAATAGAGATGGTGTAGATGGCGTAGGGGATGTTACCCAGCTTGTGGCCTTGGTGGTTGGCAGAATCCAAGGAGGCCAAGGAAAAACCTTTCTCTTTTTATTGTGTGATCTTTATTCTCTCTTTGGTTGATAGAGGTTCAGAAAGCTGGTAGGGTTTCTACTTGCGAAGGGACGGGGAGGATAGGTTGGCCGGGTAGGAAGAAGCCGGACTCTGGAGAGGTTTGAATACCAGGTAAGGAGATTAGATTTGATCCCTGGGGGACAGGGAGTTGCTGAAAGTCTTTGAGCGTGGAGGGATGTTATGTTTACATTTCCAGATCAGTCTAGAGGCTATATAGGTGGAGAGAGAGGAAAGACTAGAGATTGATAGATTGCAGTGGTCTGTGAGGTGGGCAGAGGCTAGCTTTGTGAAAAAGGAAAAGGAAGACTAAATCAGGAAAAACACATAGAGTAGGGCAGGATTTTAGGTTTTTTTCAAGTCTGGCTCAGCTGAAGGGCTCCCCTCCACTATAGGCTTACTCTGGCAAGGATTTACAATTGCATGTAGAGGTTTTTACCCCAGGGCAGACAGTGTTTAACCATGTTAGAAACATCCAGAGAACTTTTAACCCATGCTGATGTCTGGGCTTCACCTCTGATCATCAGACATAATTGGTCTGGAGGAGTTTCTCGGGCAGGGTTCAACCGAAGAAGCGTACCTATACATGAAGGGCTCTGTTACAGGAATTTGAGCATATGCAATTGTGGGAGCTGGGTAAGTAGTCTCTGTAAGGTGTTGTCTTTGTGTCTGATGCTGAAGTTTGAAGGACAGGACAGGCAGACAGGAAGGGAAGAAGGATGTAAAGTGGGGGATAGATGGAAAAAGTGAGAACCAGCTGGTGCCCATGGTGAGGGACTAAAACCGATGTCACTTCCTGTTGCCTCTGACCTGGCTGGTGTGGGTGTCCTGCAGAAACTGGGGCCCTTTGTCAGAGGGCTAACAACATTCACCTGGCCCAGGTGCAGGTCTAGTTGCAGGTTTATGCCAACAAGATGAGCCAGCAGATAAGCGACAATGTATAAGGGCTATGAAATGGATGTTGCTTCACTTCCCACCCCCAAAATTGCCCCCAAATCTCTTTTGTGGCCCACCCTAACCAGAAAGGGAATTCTGGGAAATGTTGTTTAGACTAGCCAAGTTGACTTATTACAAAGCCTGGGCATTGCTATCTTTTAAAAGCTCCCCACGTGATCTTCATGTGCAATGGTTGAGAACCCGTGACTTAGGTGATTCTGAGGTGGAGGTTGACAGAGCCTTACCGGCCATTCTGAAATGCCCCTCTGCTCCCCTGAGAGGCACTCATGTAATGTAGTAGAAAAGAAACAGGGAAAGATCAAATACCACAGAGAATACTGAAGTGTTGAAGCTGTGAGGTGTGTTGCAATGGGTAAGGAGGAAGTAAGTGATGAAGCAATGGAAACCATGGATCTAGAGCATTCTTTTGAGACTATGTCAGTAAATGCAAAAAAAAAAAAAAAAAAAGGCAGTTAGAGGAGTTAACTAGATCAAACAAGCACATTCAAGTATATTCTCAAGTACTGGGGAAGGGTCAGGCTTGACTTCTTGTCCCTGTGGGCTTTTTCAGCCCTTTGCTTGTTTCCTGTGCCTGGTTCTTAGGATTCCACAGCCTGTCTGGTATCACAGAACCTAACCTTGCCTTCTGTCATATGGGGTGTGTGAGGGATGACGTGTGCCCAGGTCACCATGGTTATGGAGTATTTCATAGAGAGAAGCTCAATCTATAGTTTTTGAATTGGGTTAAAATGAGAAAAGGTGATTTAGCAGATAATGATTGAAACTCTTGAAGAAAGAAAAGGGCTGGAAACAGAGTCCCTTAGGATATACAGAAAGCATAACATGTAGTTCGGTAGGCTGTTTGACACTTTCAGAGGAAAATACGATGGAACAATTTGGTTCACATGCATTTCACAAATACGGCATATAACTTTAATGATTATTTTCACAGGTGTTTTGTTTCATTCTTACAACATTTACATTGATTGCACATGCACTAAAGGACTATGTTGTTCAGTTTAACCATGTGCTAACAGTCAGAAAACAGGATAAAGTTTTATGGCGTGTCTTCATATAATTTGTATGTTGTTTGATAAATTTATGTTATTTTTTGTTACTATTTTGCTGTCTTCTATTCTCAATTCATAAAAACAGATCATTGGGGCCAGGTGCGGTGGCTCACGTCTGCAATGCCAGCACTTTGTGAGGCCGAGGCAGGTGGATCACCTGAGTTCAGGAGTTCTAGACCAGCCTGGCCAACATGGTGAAATCCCATCTCTACTAAAAATACAAAAAATTAGCCAGGTGTGGTGGCAGGCATCTGTAATACCAGCTACTCAGGAGGCTGAGGCGGGAGAATTGCTTGAACCCTGATGAGGCAGAGGTTGCAGTGAGTCAAGATCGCACCATTGCACTCCAGCCTGGGCAACAAGAGCAAAACTCAGTCTTAAAAAACAAACAAAAATAAACAAACTAAAAAAAACCCCAGATCATTGGTTTACAAGTGGTTCTCTGGAATCGACATGCATTCAAAGAATCAAAAACCATGTCTCAGAAGAACTTTGTAAGCCTAATGAAGAACACTGCAGTACGAATATGGAATATTAATCTGTGTGTGCTGGGACAAGTAAATTTGAGAATGAGGACTTCATACAACAGACAAAAATGTAAAGGGCAAACTGTATGCACGATAATGAATATCAGAAAAAAAAATTTGAAGTGACCTGAGTCTACCCCTAATTTTCCATGTTTTTTTTTTTTTGTTTGTTTGTTTGTTTTGTTTTTGCTGTGAAACTTGGTTAAATTGTAATATGAAGCTCTCAGGTCACTTCCTAACAAATCAAAGTGATCTCTAGGGTAAACCAATTGAATTTTCCTGGAACAAATGCGACATAATGGTTTCTAATGTATTATATTGAGTGATATTGTCAATGAAGTTAGAGAAGAGAACAAAACAAAGTTGTTCAAACTTGCACTCCTGCCAGCCAAATGATTACAGTTCACATGGTTCCTGAAACACTCTAAAAAGATAGCTACGAAGTCAGTGACAAATAGAAGAGAAAGCAGAATGAAGTATTGGCAACATTCCTCTTTTAGAAGGTACTATTCGATCTCAAGCTTCAGTGTGCATCAGAATCAGTCACCTGAACGCTGGGTCCCACAGTTTCTGATTCAGTAGGTCTGGGTTGGAGCCCAGAAATTTACACTGATGATCAGTTTCCAGATGTTGCTGCTGCTGGTTCAAGACAACGCTTTGAGTTCCTATCACATACGCACGCTAGCAGATATTTTGCTTGACAGGTGAGCATGCTAGCGATATTTTCTTTGGACAAAGTCAATCTTGTACAGGATATGAACCAGTTGTCTACTTGTGCCATGCATGAATGAGTGAAATATGCTCAATGACTTCTCATTGGAAAATCCATGCTAAAGACAGGAAGATTTTTTTCTCTCCCAGTTAATTACATCCCTTATGATGTAGGCTGGGAAGGGACTGTGACATTGGTAGTGAAGGAGCACCAACCACAAGTGAACAGACAAGGGCTTCACTCTGTGACTAAATGTGATTGCATTGACATATCTGTCCACACTTTATTCACAGAGGATGGTTGGTGGTATAATAAGCCTTTGTTCTTGATTCAGGGTTGAGGAAAATAGAGAAAAATGTGAATATGATCTAAAGCCAGGCATGGTGGCTCATGCCTGTAATCCCAGCACTTTGGGAGGCAGAGGTGGGTGGATCACCTGAACTCAGGAGTTCGAGACCAGCCTGGCCAACATGGTGAAACCCCCTCTCTACAAAAATATAAAAATTAGCTGGGCATGATGGAGGGTGCCTGTAATCCCAGCTACTTGGGAGACTGAGGCAGAAGAATCATTTGAACCCAGGAGGCAGAGATTGCAGTGAGCTGAGATCACACCATTGCACTCCAGCCTGGGCAACAGAGCGAGACTCTGTCTCTTAAAAAAGAAAAAGAAAAAAAGAATATAAACTGAGAATGACAACTGAATGTACATATTTTGTGTGCTGTGCAAAAAACGGGCAGCAAATTTAAGATGTTGTTCTCCCTACTGAAGGCTGCTGGTTATTGCTGAGGAAGATGCTCAAGAGTTTCTGGAATGAAAGAGGAATTAAAAATATTTATTTACAACATTAATAATATCAGTATGGATCGTTTCAGGGATTTCAAGTAGCTTAGTCCAACAGCATGCTCCGTGTCTTCCTTAGTTTGAACTAGATGAAATGTGGTACAAATAGCTTGATCTCTAATAGTTTAATTCTTTACAAACTTGATTACATCTTTTCTTGATTTGAGAAATAACTTAGTGTTGTAGCATTGGGCATGTTCAAAAAGTACACAAATAAGCCATAATCAAACATAAAAGACTAATTTGCAGAGCTCCATTTAACTCAGTAGAGGATCTGGATTTCATTTGCCACAATCTCCCAGGTTCAAACAGTCAGCACACCAGCTGTTTCCTGGAAATGTTGTTCAATTAGCATCCAACAGGCTATGAAAAGTAGTGTGAAACTCACTTCTCACTTTAGTGAGACATTTCTTCATAATTTCTAGATCCGCATGGGAGCCAAATATCTAGAGCCATTTGACCACCAAACCTACTTGCTGTCATTCCTGGCAACCTCTGACTGAGATTTAGGATCTTCTAGTTTTGTGAGAATAAATAATGGAAAAGAAATCAGAATGCTGACCTACGCCACAAGCAAGATCTTGGTGAAAAACTGCAAATGCTCATGCCCCTCTCAATGATTTGAATCTGTTTACTTAAATTTTTTATTTTAAAATTTATGATTAATCTAGTTTTGAAAAATGCATTATAATTGATGGTCTGCATGTACTCCAAATGGCCTTTAAGTGGCCGCTTACAGACTGATAATACGATTAGCAGCACTGAATTTTTTTGGCTTTCGCAGTAGGGCTCCATGGTGGTGCTACATTAGCACCACCATGTGGAGAGAAGGAACAATAGCAATCTTTCTATGGTTAAAATGGGGACAATACATTCTCTTGATTTTTTTTTTTTTTGAGTTGGAGTCTAGCTCTGTCACCCAGCTGGAGTGCAGTGGCACCATCTCAGCTCACTGCAACCTCTGCCTCCCGCGTTCAAGAGATCCTCGTGTCTCAGCCTCCCTAGTAGCTGGGACTACAGGCACATGCCACCATGCCCACCTAATTTTTGTATTTTTAGTAGAGATGAGGTTTCACCATGTTGGTCAGGCTAATCTCTAACTCCTGACCTCAGGTGATCCACCTGCCTCAGCCTCTCAAAGTGCTGGGTTTTACAGGTAGGAGCCACTGTGCCTGGCTGTGTTCTGAGTTTTAAACAACATAATTACAAATAAGCTTTTATCACCTAACCCAATTCTGTGTTGGAAATAAGAAACATTTATTGTTTTTACTATGTGTCAGGTTCTGATGTAAGTGCTTTAAATATTAACTCATTTAATCCTTACAAGAAGACACTGATGTTTGGTATTACAGATGAAGCAGCGGAGGCACAGAGGTTAAACTTTTGTCAGAATCACAGTCGGTCAGATGTAGTACTAGGATTTGAATCCAGGCAGCATGACTCCAGAGGTTATGACTTTTTTTTTTTTTTTTTTTTTGAGACGGAGTCTCCCTCTGTTGCCCAGGCTGGAGTGAAGTGGCGAGATCTCGGCTTGCTGCAACCTCCGCCTCCTGGGTTAAAGTGATTCTCCTGCCTCAGCCTCCTGAGTAGCTGGGATTACAGGCACCTGCCACCATGCCTGGCTAATTTTTGTATTTTTAGTAGAGACGGGGTTTCTGGTCTTGAACTCGTGACCTCAGGTGATCCACCTGCCTCAGCCTCCCAAAGTGCTAAAGTGCTGGGATTACAGGCGTGAGCCACCATGCCCGGCCTGAGATTATAACTCTTAACCATTGATTCATGCTGTCGATAACTTCCATGCATAGGTTTTATAGTTTTCAAAGTACTTTCAACTATGTTTTCTCATTTATTCCTCAAAAATGATGGTGAGGTAATTTTTAGGGGCCGTGGAGGAAAATTAAGGAATCAAATGAGGCTGGAGACTCTGGAGTTGGAAAGATATTTATAACTGATTTTGAGAGAATTTTTAAAATGAAGTATACATTATTGTGATTTAGTATTTTAAAGAAACTTACTGTTCAACTACTTTTAGAAATATTTCCAATTTATTCTGTTCGAGGAGATCCGAGTTTTTCAACTGCTTTTTCATGTAATGTATTTCTGAAAGGTGGTAGAATGGTCAAGCCCTCTCCTTAAGTATAAGAAATGTTCAGTGGACATTAACTGATTTTTAATGGATATAATTGAGAAAGATCATAATGAAGAAAATGTAACTATTTACATTTTGAAAAATCTCATTCTAAAATTCTATTCTTGTAGAAATGGCATCACAAACTATCCCCAGGATTTTAGCTCAATAATATTATAGATTCTTGATA